ATCATTTCTGAAGTTTAATGGAAATTCTTTGGAGAGGTCACTACTCATAGACAGACAGCTGGGTACAGGAGACTCTGATCTCTGTCTGCTGGACTCAAATCTGTAAAAATCAAACATGTTTTATATTCATTAGGGATGTGATTGGGAAAGGACAAAAACAGGAACCCAACCCCCATTCCAAAGAATAGAAATGTATTAAATTCTTATAGTAAAGTATGTGCAACATTTTACATATAAATTTAGCAGAAATCCAGTATATCCTTTGTAAATGTCTCTCTGAGTTATGACTGTCTACAATGTGTGAGTAGCGTGAGTCCTGTTGGCTGTATTGTTGTCAGAGCCATATTTACACAGCGTTTAGATGGACAGGACGGCCTGCCTCATCCCCTTGTGTATAAAATCTATTTAAGTCAAGTAGTGGAGAAAAGAAGAATAACATAGCCTACTCACAGTTTATTTGAATGTCAAGTAAGCGTTTTTAGATCATGGTCATTCTGTATCAATTTACATGCAATGTGAAACAGGCTAACTAAAGAGGGCTAACAGTAGCCTGCTAACACAAAAATGCAGGCCACGGGCAACTGTAGCTCGAGCCAAGGACAATTTTGTCCTCCGCTTACACTTAATGGTGTGTCAGTATGGTGCATTCCAATTTATAACTACTTTGTGTGAACGTGAGGAGAGGGGGGTTGGTGATGTGTCGCTGGGGGAGTGCAGAGGCTTCAGAATAGCGAAAGTGCACCGAACAGCAGTTTGTTTTGGTTTCATACTGGTGCTCAAGGACGACATTTACTGGATTAAAAAGTCACACAATCTACCTTTAAAATGTTAAAATGCAAAAATAGTGTGTGCCAACAAATTCTTTCTTTAAAAAGCTTTATATTTAAAAAAGCTGAACTGAAAGCAATTCAGTGACTTCTTACTTTGAGTGTGAAAGTTCAGGATCATTTCTGAAGTTTAATGGAAATTCTTTGGAGAGGTCACTACTCATAGACAGACAGCTGGGTACAGGAGACTCTGATCTCTGTCTGCTGGACTCAAATCTGTAAAAATCAAACATGTTTTATATTCATTAGGGATGTGATTGGGAAAGGACAAAAACAGGAACCCAACCCCATTCCAAAGAATAGAAATGTATTAAATTCTTATAGTAAAGTATGTGCAACATTTACATATAAATTTAGCAGAAATCCAGTATATCCTTTGTAAATGTCTCTCTGAGTTATGACTGTCTACAATGTGTGAGTAGCGTGAGTCCTGTTGGCTGTATTGTTGTCAGAGCCATATTTACACAGCGTTTAGATGGACAGGACGGCCTGCCTCATCCCCTTGTGTATAAAATCTGTTTAAGTCATGTAGTAGAGAAAAGAAGAATAACATAGCCTACTCACAGTTTATTTGAATGTCAAGTAAGCGTTTTTAGATCATGGTTATTATGTTCATTTACATGCAATGTGAAACAGGCTAACTAAAGAGGGCTAACAGTAGCCTGCTAACACAAAAATGCAGGCCACGGGCAACTGTAGCCTGAGCCAAGGACAATTTTGTCCTCCGCTTACACTTAATGGTGTGTCAGTATGGTGCGTTCCACTTTATAACTACTTTGTGTGAACGTGAGGAGGGGGGGTTGGTGATGTGTCGCTGGGGAGTGCAGAGGCTTCAGAATAGCAGAGGTGTAACAGAAGAGGAGTTTGTTTTGGTTTCAAGCTGGTGCCCAAGGGCAGCATCTACTGGATTTAAAAGTCACACATTCTACCTTTAAAATGTTAAAATGCAAAAACAGTGTGTGCCAACAAATTCTTTCTTTAAAAAGCTTTATATTTAAAAAAGCTGAACTGAAAGCAATTCAGTGACTTCTTACTTTGAGTGTGAAAGTTCAGGATCATTTCTGAAGTTTAATGGAAATTCTTTGGAGAGGTCACTACTCATAGACAGACAGCTGGGTACAGGAGACTCTGATCTCGGTCTGCTGGACTCAAATCTGTAAAAATCAAACATGTTTTATATTCATTAGGGATGTGATTGGGAAAGGACAAAAACAGGAACCCAACCCCCATTCCAAAGAATAGAAATGTATTAAATTCTTATAGTAAAGTATGTGCGACATTTAACATATAAATATAGCAGAAATCCAGTATATCCTTTGTAAATGTCTCTCTGAGTTATGACTGTCTACAATGTGTGAGTAGCGTGAGTCCTGTTGGCTGTATTGTTGTCAGAGCCATATTTACACAGCGTTTAGATGGACAGGACGGCCTGCCTCATCCCCTTGTGTATTCGTCAAACAGAACGAATGGAAAGGGCTAGCAAGTTTGACAGAGGACACAAGACAGAAAAAAATTATATTCTATAGAAAAAGAGTGAAAATGAAAAAACTTGCTCTCGATTCCTTCCATGAAGAAGGAAAGTTGTTTTTACAGGGAAAAGAAAACACAACTTGCACTTTCATTCTCAAAGTTTTTACTCTTTTGTTTGATCAGAGTTTGAGAAGCAGAAAAAGTTTTTTGCTTTGAGGCTCTGACATCGGGAACTCCTCCTCAGTGGTGGCGGTGGTCTAGTTGAAGGGGACCAAAAAACCCAGAAATATATCTCGTCCACCACTGAGCACTGAGGAGTTCTGTCCCGATGTCAGAGCCTCAAAGCAAAAAACTTTTTCTGCTTCTCAAACTCTGATCAAACAAAAGAGTAAAAACTTTGAGAATGAAAGTGCAAGTTGTGTTTTCTTTTCCCCTGTAAAAACAACTTTCCTTCTTCATGGAAGGAATCGAGAGCAAGTTTTTTCATTTTCACTCTTTTTCTATAGAATATAATTTTTTTCTGTCTTGTGTCCTCTGTCAAACTTGCTAGCCCTTTCCATTCGTTCTGTTTGACGAATACACAAGGGGATGAGGCAGGCCGTCCTGTCCATCTAAACGCTGTGTAAATATGGCTCTGACAACAATACAGCCAACAGGACTCACGCTACTCACACATTGTAGACAGTCATAACTCAGAGAGACATTTACAAAGGATATACTGGATTTCTGCTATATTTATATGTTAAATGTCGCACATACTTTACTATAAGAATTTAATACATTTCTATTCTTTGGAATGGGGGTTGGGTTCCTGTTTTTGTCCTTTCCCAATCACATCCCTAATGAATATAAAACATGTTTGATTTTTACAGATTTGAGTCCAGCAGACCGAGATCAGAGTCTCCTGTACCCAGCTGTCTGTCTATGAGTAGTGACCTCTCCAAAGAATTTCCATTAAACTTCAGAAATGATCCTGAACTTTCACACTCAAAGTAAGAAGTCACTGAATTGCTTTCAGTTCAGCTTTTTTAAATATAAAGCTTTTTAAAGAAAGAATTTGTTGGCACACACTGTTTTTGCATTTTAACATTTTAAAGGTAGAATGTGTGACTTTTAAATCCAGTAGATGCTGCCCTTGGGCACCAGCTTGAAACCAAAACAAACTCCTCTTCTGTTACACCTCTGCTATTCTGAAGCCTCTGCACTCCCCCAGCGACACATCACCAACCCCCCCCTCCTCACGTTCACACAAAGTAGTTATAAAGTGGAACGCACCATACTGACACACCATTAAGTGTAAGCGGAGGACAAAATTGTCCTTGGCTCAGGCTACAGTTGCCCGTGGCCTGCATTTTTGTGTTAGCAGGCTACTGTTAGCCCTCTTTAGTTAGCCTGTTTCACATTGCATGTAAAATGAAACATAATAACCATGATCTAAAAACGCTTACTTGACATTCAAATAAACTGTGAGTAGGCTATGTTATTCTTCTTTTCTCTACTACATGACTTAAACAGATTTTATACACAAGGGGATGAGGCAGGCCGTCCTGTCCATCTAAACGCTGTGTAAATATGGCTCTGACAACAATACAGCCAACAGGACTCACGCTACTCACACATTGTAGACAGTCATAACTCAGAGAGACATTTACAAAGGATATACTGGATTTCTGCTAAATTTATATGTAAAATGTTGCACATACTTTACTATAAGAATTTAATACATTTCTATTCTTTGGAATGGGGTTGGGTTCCTGTTTTTGTCCTTTCCCAATCACATCCCTAATGAATATAAAACATGTTTGATTTTTACAGATTTGAGTCCAGCAGACAGAGATCAGAGTCTCCTGTACCCAGCTGTCTGTCTATGAGTAGTGACCTCTCCAAAGAATTTCCATTAAACTTCAGAAATGATCCTGAACTTTCACACTCAAAGTAAGAAGTCACTGAATTGCTTTCAGTTCAGCTTTTTTAAATATAAAGCTTTTTAAAGAAAGAATTTGTTGGCACACACTATTTTTGCATTTTAACATTTTAAAGGTAGATTGTGTGACTTTTTAATCCAGTAAATGTCGTCCTTGAGCACCAGTATGAAACCAAAACAAACTGCTGTTCGGTGCACTTTCGCTATTCTGAAGCCTCTGCACTCCCCCAGCGACACATCACCAACCCCCCTCTCCTCACGTTCACACAAAGTAGTTATAAATTGGAATGCACCATACTGACACACCATTAAGTGTAAGCGGAGGACAAAATTGTCCTTGGCTCGAGCTACAGTTGCCCGTGGCCTGCATTTTTGTGTTAGCAGGCTACTGTTAGCCCTCTTTAGTTAGCCTGTTTCACATTGCATGTAAATTGATACAGAATGACCATGATCTAAAAACGCTTACTTGACATTCAAATAAACTGTGAGTAGGCTATGTTATTCTTCTTTTCTCCACTACTTGACTTAAATAGATTTTATACACAAGGGGATGAGGCAGGCCGTCCTGTCCATCTAAACGCTGTGTAAATATGGCTCTGACAACAATACAGCCAACAGGACTCACGCTACTCACACATTGTAGACAGTCATAACTCAGAGAGACATTTACAAAGGATATACTGGATTTCTGCTAAATTTATATGTAAAATGTTGCACATACTTTACTATAAGAATTTAATACATTTCTATTCTTTGGAATGGGGGTTGGGTTCCTGTTTTTGTCCTTTCCCAATCACATCCCTAATGAATATAAACATGTTTGATTTTTACAGATTTGAGTCCAGCAGACAGAGATCAGAGTCTCCTGTACCCAGCTGTCTGTCTATGAGTAGTGACCTCTCA